TTGGACTATGCAGTTAGAAAAGATTCACAGCATTTCCCTAATCTGCAATTAAGATTGCTAAACACATTAGTATTACAACACGATCATACATTGGTTTTTTAAGTCTCTTTCACCATCTCTGTATAATTGCCTCATTACATAAAATGTACCGTTCTCTAATTGGAGGAAGCAAATTTGAATTTGTGTGCCTATATGATAAAATTCGATGAAAATATTTTTTAAAAACTGAAGTCCCAAAGTAAAACCCAGATAGTCGGACACACTAACTCAATCTTCTTCAAAAGCCTTAAGTCATGAAAATCCCACTTGTCTTCCCAAGATATATTTAATCACATTTCCTACTCAATTCTCAGTTCAGCTTCTCTTTCCCTATTAACATTTTCATTTTCAAGGAATAAAGCGTAGGCAGTGATAAATATTTTGTAATAGTCATTAAATAGTGGCTAAATTACTAGTGAAAGGTAGCCTTTCTGCCTTAAAAACTATTCAAAATACTTTGGTAAGATTAGAGTCACAAGGCTAAAGAACAGCATGAAATCATACAATTTTCTAGTGAAATCACAATATGGCTAGCTCACAGGAGAAAGAATATAAATTTGGTATTACTTTTTGTCAAGTGTCTACTGTTGAAGATGTAAGAAAATCAGATTTCCTCCAGGGAGGTAAAAAATGGAGTAAGAATAATGCTGACACTTCTATAAATTCAGCCAATAGAATAAACACTGTATTGAGAAAGTATTAAAAATGCTCATCATTATTTTTAAAAGGGCTCTTAACTAAAGTCACTTTGGCTGGTCTTTCAGATTTGTTAAATAAATAGACCATGTTTGTGTATGCTTTGTAGATATAGGTCTATAACTAGCCTCTGAGTTTCACTATTTATAAAGACTAATTTGCTTGAGTATCACAAAGTGAATAAATGAAATTATGTTTTTTTTACTTTAAAAAAATTTTTTAAGTAACCCATTTTTATAGTTAGTGATTCAAGGACATTACCAGTCATTTGGGAGTAATTATAAATGGTAATTCAGGTACCTAATTTCCTGTCATGAGGGGTGCCTGGAAGGTTTATACAGTCATATAAACATTATCAATTTATTTTTCAAAATATGAGAGGTTTGGGGAAGTTTTCTTTTGAGTAATTCTTGCAGCTCAAATAGCTTAAATTTTAAACAGCCTAAAACTTACACAGTTGGAAGTAAACAGTCAGCTGATCACATAACAACCCTAGTGCACGCCCAAGCATTTTTAATAAAAGATTCTTTCAATAAGTCTAGAAATGTTCCCATGGCACCAAGTCAGAAGCCAATTCAAAGTCAAATTAATATGCCAAAAACAATCCCAAACCACACAAATAATATGAATTAGTAATGAAGCTAAAATTAAGGTGGTTTTATGATTTTGCACTCTCTCTCTGCATTCTTATTAAATCTTCAGAGACATTTCCCCTTCTGATTTAATAAGACTATCTGATTCATAAGACAGAGTAATGTTATATCCCACAAATGAAAATATGGATGAGCCCATGCGAAACACCTTTTGCTCTATGGTCATTTAACTTTGCTTTGACAGGGCTGAATCAATACAAACCTTCTATCTCCTATAAAAGAAAATCAACCCCAAGTGAGAAGACTGCCCAGGTAGTATTCTTGCAAATTTAAGAACTGATAGGAATTCAGTCTGGAGCGTGTGTATGTGGAACTTGCTGCATACCTGAGGCTGGATCCTTCTTGTTTGTTTCCGCTGCCCAGGGGAGAAGTGTCGCGCACACACTCGAATAACTTGTTAATTACGTCCTGAGGGGACCGAAACTATGTTTTCAATGCTCCATGCTTTCCTATTTTCACTACTGATAGGAATGGTTAGAAAACTCTCTTTCCGCATTTTAAAAATCACCAAACGTAAATGTATTGTGTACACAGCAGCGGTAAAAGGAGTCATTCTGTCCTCCACCCCTGCCTGCACCTTCCCGAATGAACCCCTCCCCCCCAATCTTCTTCCTCTCCCTCGGAGGGAAGGACCACATTGAATTTGTATGAACCATTCACTTTTTTTTCCTTTACACCTTCCCACCGATGTGGATATTTCTAAATAACATACTGTTTCCATGCCCCCAGTTCTGAAACTTACTTAAATGGAAAAACACTATAGCATTCTTCTATGATTTGCTTCTTTTGTTCACTATGAAGTGCTGACATCCATCCATGTAGTGACTTTCCCAACTGTATGGTATACCACGGCATAGATCTATCACAGTCAATCTACTCTACTGGACAGTTATTTGACTTATTTCCGGTTTGAGGCACCTATCAAAGTACTGCTGTGAACACTCTTAGGACTTCTGCCACACCTCCTCCTACCTCCCTAGGCAAACACCTAGGGAAGGGATTGTTGCGTTGTAGGCAAAGCACAAATTAAACTTCACTGGTAAATGTCACGGACACCGTACCATTTACACCGCCACCAGCTGTACATGATTTCCTGCTGCTCCAGACCCTCGCTGACAATTGCTCGGTCATGGCTTCAAAGCTGAACCAAACTAGTAGGTGGGAAAGCCAGAGTAGGGTGCTATCAGTATGCATCCTTTCACTTACTCATGAGGTTAAGCAAAGATACTTTTAGTGGTTAAATATGTTGCAAAAATATTCTCCTAGGGGTGCCTGCATGACTCAGTTGGCTCAGATCACGATCCCAAGATTCTGGGATCAAGCCCCACAATGGGCTCCCTGCTCAGTGAGGAACCTGCTTCTCCTTCACCCTCTGCCCATCCTCCTACTTGTGCTAATAAACAAACAAAATCTTTTTAAAAAAATTCTCCTAGTCTGTGGTTATCTTTTTATTCTTTTAAGGTGTTATCTGATAAACAGGAAGGTTTCAACTTTAGTGTAGTAAGACTTACATATATTTTCCTTTATGATTTGATAACTTTTAACTAGAGTGGTTTATGAAAAAATTTATTCCTTCCACTAAGTTAAAAACTCCAAATTATAGATTTATAGTTTAATAGTATGGCCCTTCATAATTAACCCAACTGGGATTACTTAATGTACAGACTCATTGAAGTAGAGGTCCAGTTTTAATACTTTTGTCCATGTGCATAACCAGCTCTTCCCAACCCTTCCTAGAACAGCCTATCCTTTCCCTACTTAAAATGTCACCTTTGTCATTTAGTCACCCCCCCTTTCTCTGATGCACTATGGCATTACCAAGACATGTTTAGTTTTTAATTCCTATGATTTACCTTCATAGAATCCCTTTAGGATTACTGTGTCTGAGAACTGATTAATGTCTTTTAATTGTTCCAGAAAAAAAAAATCTTTATGCATTCTCTCTGTACCTACATTTGGAAGCCCAACTGAACATTCATTTTTACACTCTGTACACTATACCTCCCACATATTTTATATTTTACATTATCTTTATTATCTATATTACCTATATTACATTTTATCTATTACATTACATTTTTATCTATATTAGATATATTTTTTATCTATATTATCTGTATTACATTATCTATACTACATTTTTAACTCTCTGGACCTAATTATGGGTAATATCTTCAGTTCTCACTTCCACAGTACTAATTTTTCCTTTGGCTGTGTCTAATCTACTTTTAAACTCAACCACTGACCATTTTCTTTCTGAAGTATTATGTTGCTGGCTTAGCAGTCCTCTGGTTCTTTTTCAAATCTACTGTTCCTGCCTCACATTATTAAGCTTCTTCTTTTTTTTCTTTAATTATACCAAACATTGTCATTTTGATTTCATCTGAAAATTTTGGTATCTGACAACACTTCACTGTTTTTCTTATCTCTTGTTCCCACTCGTTCTCACCATAATACTTTGAATTCTTTTGTGAATGTGTGGGTTTGGGGTTTTTTTGGGGGGTGGTGGTGAAGGGATTTTTAGTATTAGCCATTCATTCCCCAGAGTATTTACCTGTGGAAATTCTTTGAAGATGGGATTGAAGTTGACTTCCTCCAGAAAAAAGTGGTGTTTCTTAGTTTCCTGTTATCACTGCTCATGACAGCAATTACTTTAAATTCATCCCTTAGATTTTGTCAGTTCACACATGTAATGTAACTGGCATTTTTCTTTCCCAATAGTTCAGTGAGATGCTCAATAGGTTTAAACATGCTAAATAGTGTTAAATATTTCTTTACATTTTTAAGAGCACTTTAATAATTTTAGTCAGAAGGGACACTCAGAATATCTAATTTGCCATAACTCCAGAATGAGGAATGTACCACATTTTGAGGATTTCTTTTGTCTATATTTTTAACTCAAGTTTGATGAGCTGTTATAAAAGGACTGCCTTATATTCATGGTTACTTCTCCAAATACACAATTTCTGGTTTATAAGAGTTCAGAGTGATAATACTCCTGGGATCCACTGGGTCCTGGCAAGACTATAGGTAGGTGACCTCATCCATTCTTTGAGGCAGAGCTTAGGTTGTGGAAAGCCATCAGTACCAAAAAGAGTCCAGTGTACCTGGAGATAATTATCTACCATTTCTAAATTTTCTTAGTTACTGGCTCCAACCTTCAGGCTCTGCCACATTAAAAAAAAAAAATGCAGAAGTAACCCTGAGTGCAGAGGATTCATGAGGAACACCTGTATATTACCTGAAAGATAAGATCTGCCATTTTCTTTCCTCTTCATTTTGTGTTTTTTTGGGTTTTCTCTGCAACTCTGATTCTCACTACCATCCTTGCTTGGTAGTGTTGAGTTGATCACTGACAAGTGCTTCCTTGGTCTAGTCCTTTAGCTCTTCCTTTTCTCCATGGTGATGAGCCTTTCACATACATTTTCCCATTTCTGACATCATTCTGTTTGTTCTTTTCCTGGATCTATGAGTTATCTCTAGTTAACCTCATCTTTGAGTTAACCTACTTGTCTAATGTGTAAGTTACATAAGTAGAACTCAGAATGGAATGTCTTGCCCCGCCCAGTAAAAGATACGTTACTACTCAAATCAAATGGCAGACAGGGTTACCTGAATTGGTCTTCCATCAGGTGTCAGCACCTCTTCTGAAAGCTCCATCATCTTGAGGGCCATCAGAGCGATGGGCTTGGCGTGGCAGAGGCTTTTCCTGTGGAGTCCTGCAGCAACACAGTAGGCATCACCTATTGTTTCCACCTGCAACCAGCAGACAAATCAAATGCAAACATATGATAATGAGCCAGAAGAGAAATGATTAGTTATGTGCAATCACAAATGTTGCTGAAAACATGTCAGCAGAACATCAATAAATTAAGCAATTAGACAACTGAGTGTAATCACCGCAGAGTTTGCAAACAGCTACCGTCAAACACAGTCATCTCACTCTAGGGCTGTTCATCAATGTTATCACCATAGATGATCATTGAAATTGGGAACAACTGGAATACAGAACAATCATACTCCAAAAAAAAAAAAAAAAAAAAGAACTGCCAGTATTTTGCCTGAACAATTTCCAAATAAGACCTTGTACAAAGCCACCCTCTTGTTTCCTTCAAACTTCCAATATTGCTTATATTTGAGAGATGAGAAGCTGCAGTGCAGAAACCTATCCATAATCTTACAATTAAAGACTTAATAGACACTACCAGAGTTTTTTCAGACCCTATTCTAATTTTATTGTCAGCATCCATTCTGAATAGTCATTGCTTTTGTTAAATAGATTAAGTATTTACCCCTGGGTAAAATCCCCAAATTTCCAAAGCAGTATAAAAACTAGGCACAACTAATTTTCAGAGGAAAGTACTCTACTTATCCAAAGTATATGGCGGTATACTTTTGGATAATTTGCAAATGATATAACTAATAAGGGGTTAATATCCAAAAAATATAAAGAACTCACACAACCGAACACTAAAGAACCCAAATAATCTGATATAAAAATGGGCAGAGGACTGCATGAAACACTTTCCCCCAAAAAACCATACAGATGGTCAACACACCCATGAAAAGATGCTCATCATCACTCATCATCAGGGAAATCCAAATTGAACTTACAATGAGATACCACCTCACACCTGTGAGAATGGCCCAAATCAAAGAGATAAGGAGTAACAGTGCTGATGAGGATGTGGAGAAAGAGGAACCCTCATGCACTGTTGATGGGAATGTGTATTGGTGCAGCCACTGCAGAAAACAGTATGGAGGATCCTCAAATACTCAAAGATAGAAACCCCATATGATCCAATAGTTCCACTGTGGGGTATTTACTGAAGGCAAAGGAAAACACTAACTAAAAAAATATATGCACATGAATGTTTACTGCAGCATTATTTACAGAGTCAAGACACAAAGGCAACCTAAGTGTCCATCAGTAGGTGAAAAGATAAGGAAAACATAGAATATATACACCCTAGAATATTACATAGCCATAGAAAAGATGGGATTATGCCATTTGAGGCAACATGGATGGACCTAGAGGGTCTTATGCTAAGTGAAATAAATCAGAGAAAGACAAATACCTTATGATTCCAGTCATAAGTGGAATCTTAACAAAATGAACAAACAAAAAAAAAGCAGAAGCAGAACTATAAATATAGAGGGCTATTGGTTGCCAGAGCAGAATGGGAGGGGAGGTAGGTAAAATGGGTGAAGAGGAGTGGGAGATAGAGGCCTCCAGTAAGGAATGAGTAAGTGAAGGGAATTAAAAGAACATGAGGAATACAGCTGATGATGTTGTAACAGCAATGCAACAGGTAGCTACACTGTGGTCAGCACAGCATAATGTATAAACCTGTCAAATCACTCAGCTGAACACCTGAAACTAATGTAACACTGTGTGTCAACTATACTCAAATTTTAAAAAAAAGTATCTGGTGATAAAATCCTCCATAATTCTAATATTTTAATTAGAGCAAAGTGATGAAATATTATAGTAAATGTACAAATCCAATAATACCTTGTCTATGGAACCCTCCAGAGTCCTTCCATCGGTTTTTAGCAGAATTAACCATTTCCTCTGTTCTGTCTCAACAGCACTTTTCATACCTTTTTACTACAGGCTTTCATTTATAATCAAGATATATCCCCAACTGTGATGTCAGCTTTTTAAGAATGGGACCATGTTTTTTTCATCTCTGTATTCATAATGCTTACCATGGTTTCTAAAATACAGCTATTTAATAAACATCTACCGAATGAACAAATTAATGAATCAACCATGTTTATCATGATTTTAATAAGTCATTCTAATTGTGTATTCATTGTCACCATTCATTTCATGAGCACCATGTACATGTGTGCAGAAAAAAAATTGCCTCTGAATGACTAGAGATGCTTCTATCGTAAATATACCAAAACTTACAAAATATGCTATTAAAGATTTAATAGCCATAATTAGATTTCATGTCGAATGAAAATATGCACTGAATTAAATTCTGTAGGTGCTAATTTAGGGAAAATGGTGAGAACAGTTAAGCTAGGAATGCCAAAAAGGCCATCTGATCACCAAAATCTTATAAGGAAATATGCATCAAAAATTTTTCCAATATCCTCAGACCTATCATGATTTTCAACATTTTTACTTCAAGACCTGTCTTCTTGTGTCAGAAAAAATGGAAATAAAATCATAGGGTAAGAAAAGAAAAACAATGCCCTGTGAGTCAGCAAAGGTTTCACTCTGAAGGCTGAAATATACTTCCCCCAAAGAATTCCCATTGAGAAAGATAACCAGTAAATAATTAATCTCTAAAATGTGTCAACCTACCATTGTCCCCCTAGAAACAACAATTTCTTCTAATCCTCATAATTATCTCATCCTTTTGTGTTTCTATACACCTTGATTTTTTAATGTTTTTATATAAATGCCAGGTAACGTATAGTGTAATATTGTTTCAGGTGTACAACAGAGTGATTCAACACTTCCATACATCACCCAGTGCTCAACATGACAGGGCACTCCATCTCCATCACCTGTGTCCGCCATTCCCCACCCACCTCCCTCTGGTGACCAGGAATGTGTTCTCTGTAGCTAGGAGTCTGTTTCTTGGTTTGTCCCTCTCTTTCCCCCTTGGCCCACTTGTTTTGTTTCTTAAACTCCACATATGAGTGAAATCATATGGTATTTATCTTTCTCTGACTTACTTTGCTTAGCATAATACCCTCTAGTTCCATCCAAGTTGTTGCAAATGGCAAGGTTTCGTTCTTTTTCACAGCTGAGTAATATTCCATTGTGTACAGATACCACATGCTGTGAGCTATGCACTTTGAAACTAACTTCTGATTTTCAGATATCAGAATACATAGGCAATAAATGATTTGTATAAACAAACTGCTTTATAGCCCCAGTGAACGTGCATGTTTCTGGAGCATGACCACGTCTTGAAATCCTATCCTCCTCTTCCTCAGCAGCTATCATCTTCATTATCATTTCAGTAAAAGTTTATTGAGTTTCCACGAAATGTATATTTCTAGAATTTGTACCATAAGAATACAGGTGAGTTACATGTAGCACTTTCTCTTTCAGCAGTGTGTAATGTAAGAGTATGGAGGAGATGAACCAATAGGTTTCCAGTGGATATGACACAGAATCTAATAAAGTGTAAGATAAATGTATATACAAAAGAGCAAATTCATATTAAAATCCATATGTTATCATGCAAGCTTTTACACTACTTAGTTCCCAAGTATCTGAAGTCAATTTAACTCTCAGAAACAATACGATCAAGAACTAGGCAAGAAACAAACGTCAAAAAATAATGGCCTATATCAAGATGTACAACTCTCATAATAAACACCTAACACATAGAAAAAATATAAACGATGGTTCCATCGTGCTAGGCCAGATTATGTTGCAATCACAATCTAACTTCCAAATCTGCATGCCTTAAAATAACAAAAGCTTATTTTTTTTTAAAGATTTTATTTATTCATTTGACAGAGAGAAAGAGATCACAAGTAGGCAGGGAGGCAGGCAGAGAGAGAGGAGGAAGCAGGCCCTCCGCGGAGCAGAGAGCCCGATGTAGGGCTCGATCCCAGGACCCTGGGATCATGACCTGAGCCGAAGGCAGAGGCTTTAACCCACTGAGCCACCTAGGCGCCCCAACAAAAGCTTATTTTTGATTCATGCTATGAATTCATGTAAGTTAAAGGATTAGAGGACAGGGGAGAAACATGGGGTCATGTCTCTTAACTCTAGGAACAAGGCTAATAGAACCTCCCCCACCTGGTTGTCACGGCAGGGAAAGAGAGGTGCTGACAAACTGCTTGCTAGCCTGTGCAGCTTTCTCCCAAGGGTGACATACAGAGCTTCTCAAGATTCATTCACCAAAGCAAGTCACACAGCCATGCTTAATGTAAAGAGGATGGGAAAAGTCAACCACCCTTGTGCCCAGACATGAGCCAGAAATATTTGATGAGCAGCACAGAAAGCACATGAAAGAATAGGTAACAGCTTTAAATAGCTTAAATTTTTCAAACATCCAGATGTCTGCGAAGTGCAGGTAATAGATGATATTTTCTCTTTCCTTAAAGATATATTCAGCTTCTTAACGTGAAAATCTTGACAAAAATGCCACCACTTTAGTAATGCAACTTTCCACAAAAGGTCTATTCTCTCCTCTCCCTTCATCCAATTCAGGTCTGGGCAAGTTTAGCAGAATTAAGTGTATGTGCAAATTTTAGCAGATTCCCTTCAAAAATATTACCTGATTTTGCTTCCCAGGGAGCAGAAAAAGTGAAAACATTAGACAGCCAGTACATTTGCTCCTGGGTCTTGAGTTAAGCCAGTTAAATAGGGGGGACACTGGAAACATACTAAAAAGACAAAAACAAAAACCTGTCTTTTAAAAGTTAATGATGTTCTCAATTCTTTTGCAATTGACCCAGTGTTTTTTAAATAAGATCTTAAATAGGGCTGCCTGGGTGGCTCAGTGGGTTAAGCCTCTACCTTCAGCTCGGGTCATGATCTCAGGGTCCTGGGATCGAGTCCCACATCAGGCTCTCTGCTAGGCAGGGAGCCTGCTTCCTCCTCTCTCTCTCTCTACTTGTGATCTCTCTCTCTGTCAAATAAATAAAATCTTAAAAAAAAAGATCTTAAATACAACAGACACCATCTAAAATAATGCATCTCAGTTATTTTTGACATCTCCAAACTGTTCTCGAATGACATTAGAGAAGAATAAAGATGGCTAACTTAGTCA